TAGTTGTTACTGTGCTAGTAAATTCATTTTAGGTCTAGAACGTTTCATTTCAGCTCAAGCTTCCAACGTTACACAATATGTATATGCACCGGAAATGGAGAAGAATCGTGTGATTCACAATACATATCACACTATTTGATACGAAAAAAGATGACTTAGGATTCCAACAATATAAAATCACACTTTCCTTGCACATGGAAGGAATCCATGGCTAATGATGTATTTTGGACTTCGGAATTAGTGGATGAATTTAATTTGGTGTTTTGCTATTTCATCAACAATACAATGACATTAAATTAATTATTTTCTAACTTTTGAGCACTTCTTTATGTTCAAGGTATGATTTTCGTTTTCAAATATTTTTATTGATATACTTTTAAATCATACAATACGAGCCATTTCGCAATTCATGATTCAAATATTGATCAAATGACTCACAGTTTGACAAATATGGTGCTATTAGGGTTTTACAGTCGTTAAAGGGAGAGCAGTGAAGCTCATACGAGATGTTGTTCTCAAGTAATTCTCTCATATCCCCTTTAAGCATGTATACATATTAATGTTAAGTAATTTCATGGTTATAATACAAATATACATCCCATATATATACACATATATATACATGAGTTCAGGTGAGAATATCCTTACTACAAGAATATGAGAATGGTGCATTTTCGATCGTCGTGATGCATTGTACACTTGTAGTAGTTCATTTTCGAAAAGTTCAATTTATTTACAAAATTGCCACCGCAATTTTTTCAAAATTTTCAGAATTTTTTATTTTCAATAGCTCTTAGATCTTAACACTATGTTTGGTTCAAGGAATTTGAAAGGGAAAAGAAAAGAAAATGAAGTGGAAAGTACTTTTTCTTGTTTGGTTAGAGAGGAAAAGAAAGAAAAAGTGGAAGGAAAACAAAATGAGAAGGTAAAATGTACTAAGTGGAGGGAAAACCAAATTCCTTCTGTTTTGATGAGGAAAATGAGAGAATCATTTTCTTTTCTTTTCCTTCCAAATTCCTTGAACCAAACAAAGTGTAAATCTAATGGATCTTATGCATTCTCATATCTTTCACAGTGCATCATTCTCATTTGAACCAGTGTTTTAAAGACCGGACCGGACCGGCCGGTCCAACCTCGACCCGCGAACCGGCAGCATATCCGGTCCGGTTCACTGAAGAAACCCGCTTCCCATTTGACCCGCCCAAACCCGTCAGACCCGGTGAACCGGGTGACCCGGGTCGACCCGTCCGGTTCCGAGTTTGGGCTTAAATCTATATTTTATTCAATTTTCCCACATAAAAATTGAAAGCGGGGATGGGAATCGAACCCAGCACCTCCCGAATACCAGTGCAAGTTATCAACCAAGTGAGCTACTCAATCTTTGTTCAAAGTCTAGGTATGAATCATATCTATTTATTGTTTTACAAAAGGTTCATACAAAATATATACTCCGTAGTTTTTTTGTGCAAGTGTGAATTTGTATTTATGAACTTTTAAAATAATTTTAAAAATTGAGAATTATTTAATTTTTATTTGAAAATAAATATACTATGTATATTTTATAATTAAAAAATTGTTGTCTTTAAAAATCAAGTAATATTTATTAATTATAATTTAATATGCTACTCCCTCCGTTCTCAAAAATACTTCCTCTTTCATTTTTTCACTTCCAACAAAACACTTCCACTTTCCATTAAAAAACCACTTTTACCCTTACCTTTTCATACCCTACCTATCACATCATACTTTTTCTCTAATAATCTATTCATCACATCTTACTTTTATCCATCACATCAGGGGCAAAATTGGAAGTCAACTACAATTTAACACTCCCTTATTTTTGCTCCAAGTCAAAATAGGAAGCCTTTTTGCAAACGGAGGGAGTATATTTTTTATTTTTCAATCATTTTAATCAACTAAATATTAACTTTAAAATGTCATATGTATATAAGAATAAAATATATAGTCCTTAATTTTTGAAAATCTGAGTATCCCCTTATTATTTAAGTATTTGTTAGAGATTCAATATTAACTTTAGATAATAATAAAAAGAATAAAATAAAAATAGAAGGTGTGAAATAGCATATGTACAAGGATATTAAAAAATAGATGGAGAAATAATAACATAAATTAAAATATTTTATTGACTAAAAATATCTAATATATTATAAAATATTATTATTATAAACATAGTTGACCGGGTCGTTGACCTTCGGTTAGACCGGTTCGACCGGTCAACCCTTGACCCACTACCTCGTCCGGGTCGACGTCCGGTCCAGTTTTCAAAACATTGATTTGAACCAAATTCTATATATACATATACATACACACACACACACACACACACACACACACACACACACACACAGGTTTCACCTCTTGTGCATTTATAATACTAATATACATCCCATATGTATATAGGTTATAGATTATTTCATGATAATTATTTATAGAGGATAGTGATAGTGAAAAGAAATGGTGGAAGTTGGAAACATTGAAAGATGAGTTTGATTGTAGCAAGGTTGGCTACATTGTTTGGGTCCAGAGATGGGTAATGGCGATTGCAATACATTGAATCTACTAATCCCTCGGTTTAAAAAAATTCTGCTTTTGTTTTTACGTGCAAAATCTCATCTTTTTTAAAATGATTTTTTTTACAAATTGGTATGGAAATAAAAAGTAAAATTTACATATTTAGAAAACTACATCAAAAGTACTACATAACAAGCAATGCCAAGAATATTTTATTTTATCAAATAATCAATGAAAAAACACAAATAAACAAAAGTTATCGAGAGACAAGTTTTTTTTTTTGAAACAGAGGGAGTATATAAAATGGAATGTGAATGAAGATACGAAAAAACTATGATGTGAGATTGCATATTAATGACAGAAACCCCAACACAACTACTCTAGGACCTATTCTTGGGATGTCTAACAACAGTTATCAGCGTATACACTACGAGTCTACGATAATAATAATTGTAATTAAGGGCTCATCCGCTCGGTACATAATGCCTTCATTATATACCACATTAACCAAGTAAAAACTAAAGAGTACTCTGCAAATTGTAAAATGGAACTTAATGCAGTTATTGTGAGTCTATACCTCGGGGATGTTGTGCAGTGCAATAGCAAAGGCCAGGTTTATACCAACTCGAAGTCCCTACAAAAGTATGATAATAAAACAAATTTAAATTTGCATAGAACTGAGAAGACAAAAGATATCAATCAAACAATCCATTGTAGAGGTCAGAGTCAATAGTCATAGCTTTAAATTACCCTTAACATAGCATGAAAAAACAACACAACCACAAAGCCAGTAAAATCCGAGAGTGTGGGGTATGGGGAGGGAGAACCTTGCCCCTACTAGGGAAGTACAGACTCTGTTTGAAGAGATCCCTGACTCAAAACTACATGGTTACAGAAAAGAAAACAGGGATATGAAAGAGAAAAGGCAAATGAAAAGGCAAAGGAAAGGAGCACAACAAAAGCAAACATACACATATACAACAGAATAAGACGGCAAATTCTACACAAAACCTTGATTAACTCCTGAACTAAAAAACCTAACCTACCATTAGGTCTACCAAAAACACAGCCTATCACCCTATCCAGAAGCTTTTGTCTAACATCACATCCTTGGTTAACACCTAAACCCGTAAGTCCAGTCTAATCACCTTGCTCCATCTCTTCTTAGGTCTACCCCCAACCCGTCCTCATGACCCCGACCTCCAGCCTCTCGCACCTCCTCACTGGAGCATTCGTACTTCTCCTCAGCACCTGCCCAAACCATCTCAATCCTACTTTATGTATATTATCCTCCACAGAGACCCCTTCCACCTTCCTCTGAATATCTCGGTGTTCCGGACCCTGTTAATCCTTGTATTACCACACATCCATCTCAGCATCATCATCTTTGCCACTTCGAGCTTATGAACGTGTGCATTCTTCATCGCCTGCCCGGTCGAACTTCCCTTTCATTTCCATTGATACCTTCTTGTCGCATAGGACACCCGAAGCAAGCTTCCACTTCACCCAAGCCGCTCCAATACGAAGAAGAACATGTCCATCAGCCTGAACCTAAGCCCCGAAGATTGGATCCAAAGGTACCAAAATTTGTCCCTTTTAGGTACCGGATGCGTATCAAATCCTATCAATCATCACTTCCAACTTTTCGATTATACAGTACCCAAAGCATCATACTCAAAATTCACTAGCAACCCATTGTTTCCACCACCAAATATAGAACTAAAACAATATTCTAGCACGTCGAACATAGCAATTTATTTGTGTAAAAACATTAATAGATCATTTTCCAGTAGATCCGTTTGGTAAATCAAATAGACCAGAAGCAATTAAAATGTTCCAAAAAATAAAATAATCAGCTAGCTACAAACTAGAATCACATTTTGTCATTTTTCTAAAATCACAAAGTACTAACTTTGGGATAGGTACCTTCATTGATCCAAGAAAAACAGCCATTCCTTCTGGAAAGTTGTGCAAGCTTATCCCTGCAAAAGCAAAAGAATAGGAGTCAAAATTATAAGCATGTTAAAAACATAAATCTCTATCCCAAGCAAAGAACAAAATCAAGAAAACCATGGAAGAACATAGACTAGATGTTCTACCCGCCGCCCGCGTACATGAAGTTTATGCATGCATTGATGTCAACAATGTCAACAGTTGAACCCCCTCTACCTTTTACATAAGGGTAAGTGTTGCGTAGACCCACCCTCCCTAGAACTCACTTGTGCACTTTTAGTGGGTCGTTGTTGTACTGGTGTCAACAGTATTGTGCATGAATTATATTTCATCAAGTAATTCATTGGTATAGAGTGTAACACAAACCTATTGCCGTAACAATGCCACTGAAGAGGACTTGACGGCGACGTTTTTTCATGATATCTTTGCCACCATCATCCCCACCTTTCTGCTATCAACATTCAAGCACAGCCTCAAGTCTTGAGAAAAAAAGGTTCCAAAAGTCACCATGACTCATGAATACAAGCAGTTTAATAATCAAACTCATAGGGAAAAATACTGAAATACTTGGGTAGATAAGAAGATTTAAACCATTTTGTTCTGGGCATCTGAAATGGGAGAAAGAGTAGGTTCTGGGATGAAGCTTGAAATGAGAGCAAAGAAAGCAGCCCCTGCAAAGAACTGCGATGCAATATTGGATTGTCCTTTAAGGGAAACAAACACAATAGTATAAACAAGCAAATTGGCAAAATATGCTTGAGATAATAGCTCACCCAAAGGTTTCCCCTTAAGAACCCAATAGAGTTCAAAGCATTATGAGCCAAATCTAGGAATGATATGCTCAACATAAGACCAGCAGCAAAACCCTGCACAAAGGGAAACCTATGACGCTATTTCTTTCAAGTAGATGCTAAATTCTGAATGTGATGCCATAAGTTCTAAGAAAGAATTCAGAATTGTATTAGAATTCTAACTTTTATGAGACAAGTCATCATAATCTATTTATACAATCGTTTCTTAAAGAGTAAATTCCATAAAAGGTCCCCAGTTATAGGTTGTTTTACATATTTAGTCCCTACATATCAAATATTACTAATTTAGTCCCCAATTATTATATCATTTTTCACGAATGGTCTTTTGTTAACGTTTTTGTTATGAACATGGATAAAATTGTATATTCATACTTCTCTCTCTCCTCAATTAAGCTTCCTCCCTCCTATCGTACTCTTTCCCAAACTCGTTGCTGAGTTTGAAGCTCTAAACCCAAAACTGAAATGATCACTCCTTTCTCAATTATTAGTCTCTCTCAATTATTAGTGTGGAACCTAAAATCAAAACCAATAAGCTTTATGGATGACTTTTATCGGTTAGTCTCAAGAAATTGCAAAAAAAAAACATTAAAACTCATCCATGAAGGTTACCAGTTTCGAATTTGGGTTCCACCAGTTTGACAAACAATTGAAAGAAGAGTGATGATTTCGATTTTGGGTTCAAAGCTTCAAACTCAGCGACGGGTTCGGGAAAGGAGTGCGAGGGGAGGGAGGAAGCTTAATTGAGGAGAGAAAGGAGTGTGAATTTATAATTTTATCCATGTTCTTAACAAAAATGTTAACAAAGGATCATTCGTGGAAATGAATCTAATAATTAGGGACTAAATTAGTAATATTTGATATGTAGGGACTAAATTTGTAAAGCGACCTATAATTGGGGACCTTTTATGGAATTTACTCTTTCTTAAATGTGTTGTATGTGCAAAAACGACTCTTTGTACACCAATATCAATTAAGGACACGTTTTGTAAATGTTATTTGGGTGAAATGGATGAGTCAACTGAATTTATGACAAAACAACATTTGTTGACATCCATTTCAGTCAAATGAGCAAGTCAAAACTCAAAAGCTATGTATTCTGCTTAGTTATTAGAAGATGAAAGCCGGATAAGGCTACTAAAGGGAGCCAAGTGGTTAAGGAAATGGAGAAACTGAAAAATAATAGTTCATTTAAGAGAGAGTCAAGAATCACCTGCAAAAGACCAAGCATCTTCAAGTCAGGGGCAGGATTTATGATCACAAACAAAGCACCTATTGAGCCATTGCCCACAGATTAGAAACTGTTTTTGACGGGTAAGCAAAAATTCAATGAAATCTATAGCTAATTAATGGCTACTACAACCACTAGAAACAAGTAAACATGCAGAAACGGCGAAATAAAATACATCTTCCCGGGCAATTAACTTTCATCCATTATGGAGAAATTTAAGTATAACAGAACATTCATTCCCTCCCATAAAAGAGTCTTGTTTTCAAAATAGTACAATATTTTTACTTTTACAACCACTGAACATCACCAATTATCGCAGTAGTATTAAATTCATTTGTCACTATAAGTAAATTTTTCTTGGGAACAAGAGAGTAAACCATTTGGCTTTGCAAATCAAAGAGAGCAGAAGAAGGGGCAGAAATGGATTAAATTAACAACTTGGAAAATTAAGGTAACAAATATCTGATTAAAAGACTGAGTAAAACATCTTTAATAAGAAAACATCAAGTAACAGAAGAAGAACATCAAAACTACTTTCGCATTTAGTCAAATAATTTCAACAACTGGCCATTGAACTGATTTGGCATTCCAATGGTTACTGACCTAAAGAGGTACTTAGTCCACCCAACATTGAGAGACCCAGAGCGACCAAAGCCTGAGACTCCATGAAATTCCCTCGGCTCCTTCTGAAAAGATGAATTACAGACAAGAAGGATGATAGAGAAAACCCCAGATAAATTTTCTGGGTTCTTTCCCCGTCTCTCACTCCTTGTTTTTCCTTCAAAAATGTACCAAAGAATTGAAAGAGACGAACGGAATTTAACCTAGCAAAAACATTTTTAAGTGAAAATTTTTAAAAAATCACTCTAAATGTGGCTAAAAACAAGCCAAAACTAACGAAATAAAAGTGCCATATTTTTATTTTTAAAATAAGAGCTCGTAGTAATGTACATTATACATGTGCATTTTATGTGGAATGCATAAGCATGATTGGTAATATAAATGCATTTTAAACCCTATTTTGGAAATAAAAATATTAAATTCCTATTTTAGTATATTTTCAATGTTTTACTCTTATTTCAGTCTTTTTCCCAATATATTTTCAGAAAATAAATTTTTTTTCTCCCATATTTTCTATTACTAGTATTTTGACCCGGCGATGCACGGAGTCGAATTTTTTTTGTCAATTCTAAATTTTTTCAATGCAATATATTTTCCAAAATCAAGTAAATATATTTCTAACACAAATTTTTAATCAATGGACAACAAAGGCCAAACTAGAATAAATAATATTTGAGAAATTAAAAGTGTATTCGAAAAAATTGTTTTTAATTCCAATTTTTTTAATGGTATGTTTGGGAACATGGATTTGGATTTCAAATCTGGATTTGACTCAAATTCCATGTTTGGAAAACTTAAAAAATTTGAAGTTGGATTTAAGTCAAATTCTTCTCATTCAAAACAAAACTTAATTTGAAATTCGTGTTCCTCCCCATGTCATTTGAATTTCAAGATTTTAAATTTTGGAATTGAAATGCATGAATTGAAATGAAATGCTAGTTGCCAAACATTACCTAAGATATTCAAGGTACACAAAATTTTTTATATGGTTGTAAGGATTTTTATTGTAATCTAAAATCAATATTTTTAATTATGTTTTGGTTGGACATGAGTTCAAACATTCTCTTTTGGTATTCTTTTGTGATATTTTTTTTCCGGGTTTTACCAAGCAAAGAAGGAATTCTAGTATGAAGAAAATAATTTAAAATTTCAAATTGCAAATGATTGGATTTTTACTCAAGTACGTAAAAGGAATTTTCTTGTACGCGCTTGAAGGGAAGATTTTAGAGATTATGAAGACTTTTATTGTTTTGAGCCATAAGAACATTTATAAGGATGACAAATATTTTTTCACTTAAATAAATTAATTTTGGGGGTTAAGCTATTATTTTTAGAGTCAAGTAAAAAAATAAAATTTTCTCAGTCTATGAGTGTTTCAAAGTTATTCATTCATAATATTTTCTTTACTCTTTTGAGATAGCTTATTCTTATTATTTTTAAGCACTCACACACACAAGGGCTTTGTGTTTTATAATTTAATATATTGCTCATAGGCTTGTTGTTCTTGATTTTTTTGTTCTTATTCTACCCAATCCCGAATTTTTATTCTTTGGTAGAGAAGTAACATAATCTCTTATCATTTTGTAAATAGTGTGGATAGCCTATAAATCCTCATTTTGTTTTAAGGTTGAAGATAGCTTTGTAAATCTTTATTTGTAAGCGATAGAGATAGCCGTTGCAAAATCTCATCACTTATTGGCAAGGGTTGTTTGCCGGATCTCGTTTAAGTCTTCTAGGCGTAGCCAAATAATTTAATGGAGGTTAAATCCTTGAGGAGGAGCCTCGATGTATTGGAGTATGCATATCCGAACCAATCTAAAATCTCTTGTGTCGTGCTTTTCATTTCTCTTTATTTTCCTTGCTCTTTTTCTGAGTTTTTGTTTTGCGAAAAACTTTCAAACATCTTAATTCACCGCCCTTTTAGGGTGTTACCGCATATTGGTAAGAACCATTAGTTTTACGATCGGAGCACCGTAGGCACTCCGGTTAGAGTTGTTGTCATATTATGACAATACCCCTTGTTTTCAAAAGAAAGGGGCTCCACTTCCTTCTTTTGACAACAAAAGATAATGTCATAATATTACAAGAACTTCAATCAGAGTACTTACGGTACTCTGATCTTAAAGTTGATTATTCCTACTGTCTCCCTATTTTCTAGTAAACCCCCCGGCCCGCGCCAAACCCATTCCCAAACCCCTTCATTTTTATTCCCCAAATGTATTTGACTTTTGGGTCAAATTTTGTTTGACCCTAAAGTCAAATCAATTTAGGGAATAAAATTGAAGACGTTTGGGGGATGACTTTGGGGCGGACTGGGTGGGAAGTTTACTTCGGGGTTAGAAAGGTAGGAACCATGAATTTTACAGTTGGAGCACCGTAGGTACTCCAGTTAGAATTGTTGTCATATTTGGACAACACACATTGTTGTCAAAAGAAGGGACTCTTCTTTAGATCATTTTTGTAAAACACAAGACACGGCACAACGTGTAATCAACCGAATAATTGTGTACTTTGTTTTTATTTGGTCGAGACATTGTTAGATTATTTATGCCTAGTTTTCTTTCAAATAAGATTAATAAAAAGTGTTACTTCTTTTTTCTTATTTTTGTTACATGAATTAGTGTCATTCAAATTAAGAAGCAAAACATATTAATTTTAAAAAGTAACAAAATAAGAGTATATGTGAGTCATACAAATATTACTAATATGATTTGGAACAAAAAATATAATGACATAGAAGAAAATAAAAAGAGATAAAAAAATGAAAGATGAAGAGTATAGATTATTTAAACAAAATATGAAATTTATTAAATATTATAAATATTTCTAACACTTTTCATTTTTTCAAGTCCTAGTTTTTTTTCTATTTTTTTTTTAAATTTTTTCTAATTTCTTCCAGCTCAGCTCTTTCCAGTTTTTCAACTTCTTGCCATTTTTTAAATCAATTCTAGTTTCTTCTAACCCTTTAAAGCTTTTGTCATCCCTTCCCATTTTTGTAACTCTTTCCAATTTCTTCCAACATTCAACTTTGTTTTCAAAGCTCTTGTGTCTTGATAACATTAAAAAAAACAGCACCTTTTAGTTAGACACGACTAACATAAAAGTTGAATGATTTAAATTATATTATAAGGTTGTGTTCTTTAGGATTCTAAAAAGGGAAAAGGACCAAACTAGGAGTAAAACATGTATCATATCCCCAAAATAAAAGTTGAAACTTAAACTCTCCTAAATAGGAGTAATTAACTTAATTAACTTAATTAATCAGCTTGTCCAACCGTTAAAAAAAGAAACACAAAGTAGGAAGAAATATAGCGGAGAAGGTTGCGAACCTTTTGTTGAATGAAGCCAAAACATTGTGGATAACACTTCAATAATACTTCTAGATTGTAGAAAGGTTAATTTCATTGATTGAATATGTGGGAGTACATGTCTATATATACACAAGGATTCCTAATCCTATACAAGGTAGGAGACAATAATAGGAAACAATATATTCCTAATCCTATACAAGGTAGGAGAGAATAATAGGAAACAATATATTTATATTAAATATAGAATATATTTAACATGCTCCCGGCTACGTCCGATGAGGAGGGGGTCTGATACCCAGACTGGACTTAAACTCGAGGAAGAGTAGAGAAGGTAGTCCTTTGGTGAAGATGTCAGCATACTGTGAAGAAGAGGGAACGTGAAAGACTCGGATATGGCCGAGTGCGACTTTGTCTCGCACAAAGTGTATGTCGACTTCAACGTGCTTGGTGCGCTGGTGCTGAACTGGGTTTGATGAGAGATAGACGGCGCTGACGTTGTCGCAGAAGACGAGGGTGGCACGTCGTAGTGGTTGCTGGAGCTCAAGAAGAAGATTTCGGACCCAAGAAGTCTCAGCAACTGCATTTTCCACAGCCCGATATTCTGCCTCTGCACTGGAGCGGGAAGTGGTGGCCTGGCGTTTTGAAGACCAGGAAATCAGGTTGTCACCTAGAAAAATACAGTACCCGGAAGTGGAACGTCTGGTGTCGGGACAGCCAGCCCAATCAGCATCAGAATAAGCCTGGAGATAGTCTGTCGAGGAGCGAGTCAGGTAGATACCGTGAGTGGCGGTGCCGCTAAGATAACGGAGAACTCTCTTCATGGCCGTGAGGTGAGAGTCGCGGGGCGCATGAAGGTGGAGGCAGAGCTGCTGAACAGCATAAGTGATATCAGGTCTGGTGAATGTGAGATACTGTAGAGCACCTACGATGGACCTGTAAAGAGAAGAATCTGGAAGTGCCGTGCCGGAGGAGGAAGAAAGCTTAGCCTTTGTGTCGACTGGAGTGGATATGGGGCGGCAGGAGACCATCCCTGCCCTCTCAAGGATGTCGTGAGTGAACTGTGTCTGATGGAGGAAAAGGCCCTGAGCAGTGCGATGAACATTAATGCCGAGGAAAAAGTGCAGATCACCCATGTCTGTCACGGCAAACTCAGCCTTGAGTTTCTGAATGAGACTCTGAAGAAGCCCTGGCGAGGAGGCAGTGAGGACGATATCATCAACATATAATAGGAGGTAGGCGGTCCCCGAGGCATGCGTGAAGACGGAGAGAGAGGTGTCAGATTTGCAGCTGCGAAATCCAATAGTCTGAATGAAACCTACAAATCTGTGATACCATGATCGGGGTGCCTGTTTTAGACCATAAAGAGCTTTCTTGAGCCGGCAGACATGATGAGGGCATTTGCATCCTGAAATCCTGAGGGCTGGCTAGCATACACGGTTTCCTGAAGCTGTCCATGGAGGAAGGCATTTTTGACATCGAGCTGATGGATGGGCCACCCACGAGACAACGCGAGGCTAAGGACGATTCGGACCGTGGCAGGCTTGATGACGGGGCTGAAAGTTTCGTTGTAGTCAACGCCAAAACGCTGATTGAATCCGCGGACCACCCATCGAGCCTTATACCTGGATAACTCACCGGATGGGCCAAATTTGTGTCGGAAGAGCCATTTACCGGTGATTATGTTTTGGTTGGGGGAGGGGGGTACTAGTTCCCATGTTTCATTCTTTAACAAAGCATTATATTCATCACACATAGCAGCATGCTAGTTTGGATCTTTCATAGCACTACGGTAAGTTGGGGGTAAAGGGGAGATGGAGGTGGTGGCATGGATGTCTAGGATTTGTTTTGGGCAGAAAACACCGGCCTTAGAGCGGGTTTGCATGGGGTGGGCGTTGAACGGTGGGGGAGGGGAATGGGCCGTG